TACAATTCACCAGTCACCGGTCGAGTTAGGCGTAGAGCTGGCTCACTCAGGCTCGTTTGACCCAATTCCCGGACATTGTTTCAGCACCAGCAGCGCGTGGCCAATTCAGTCAGGCCCATGAGACTGACTCAGATCGGATATGGTCGCTGTATCGATCGCAGACTACGCGAATGGTTGTCTTTTCCACTCCGCGTTAGCCCTCGCTTCTGTGCATGCCTTCGGCCCACATGCACACACTGCACCGAGGCCAGATGCTGACTTTCGCTCTGGCCCAACGCCTCAGCTGGTCGCACAGTGTCTTGCTCACGCACACACCGTCTTGAAGCGCGCGCTCTTTCTCGCCACGGCCCTCACTCTTTTTTCGCACCTCGAGCGGCCCCGATCGATCCAAGCCCACTTCGGGCGCCAAATCCGCGGGCACGACTGAGACAAGCCAACCTTCAACTCGCGCTTTCGTTCTGCCACCGCCTCGTGAACCTTTAAACTGGGTCATTCGCGTGCAGAGCCCGCGAATTCGCGCCTCGCCGAGTGGCGTTCATTATGACCGGCCTTTCAGCCTTGACAATGTCGAGATGCCGGCCTGACACGTCATCGAGATTCACAATTCTGCCCCATTTTCACTTGGTCAAGTCGACAGTACTTCGCGGTCGAAAAATCCTCGTACAAGTTTGGCGCAAATCGCCAACATTAGAAGTGAGTTGACCGCGTTGTTGCAACTTTGTCCTCTTAGCAGAACGCACCTAATCCGAAGTCGTCTGCCATGTTAGTTGTCATGACTCCCAGCCTCAGACAGTGGACTTGGTACATGCTCAAACGTTTCGCCGGCATCGTAGTCGACATCATCGCGGATTGCTGGTATTCTCTTCTGATGCTGCCGACTACGATGCCGGCGAAACGTTTGAGCATGTACCAAGTCCACTGTCTGAGGCTGGGAGTCATGACAACTAACATGGCAGACGACTTCAAACTAGGTGCGTTCTTCATTGTCCCCCTGAAAACAAGAGCAAGTTGCGACAACGAGGTCAACCCACTTCTACACCTCGAAAGGAGACTGCGACCATAACAGAGGCCACAACATCTTGGTTTTCGTATCGCCAATATTCTGTTCACGCACGGCCATTGTGGCGAGTGCAAACTGTGCATGAAGCCAAATGATCGCTTATCGCTGAACCCATGCGGACAAGTTCAAGATGGCTGCTCGTCTTGACGGTAAATGGATCCTGTTGGTCATTCCACGCGAGTGATGCTATTCTAGCGTCAATCTTCCGAGTGCCTTGACCACCTCGGATGCAGGAACATGAGCCCCTCTGCTACCACTTTTTTCCATTCTCTCATTTGCAAAATGAAGAAAGTCTACGCTCAACCGAGGTTCACGAAAGGGCTGACGCATACTCAGGCATAGCGATGGCCAGAGCTAGGCAATACCCTGACAACTGGATGGCATGTCATGACCCACCGAGCCATAGCAGCGTGAGGACTGGGGTCCCTGATCGGTACACCAGGTCCTTCTCGTCTCTTCGTTAAAATCGCTTCAATTATCTGTTCTCCTTAGTGCGTTTGTATGTTTTGCTCCAATCAATTGCCTACAAAAGTCTGTATGATCCATAATAAACTGAGGAGATTTAAGATTTAGCTTCCTTTGGCCAATGGACTTTCGTGATGACTCCTTTTTTGAACGTCTTCACATTACGTCTCAAAAAACAACAAACTTGGCCGTGAGGGCGCCCTAAAAACCGGACGTCTCGTTCGTCTTTTTCACGTCCGACCTTATTCGACCGTAATTCTCCAATCGGTTGGCGAATCACGGTTGAGGGTGGAGCTGTGGACAGTTCAGAAGTCTGCCGGTGTGCATGGACGACCCTTAAGGCAAAGTGAGCTCCGGAGCGGTAGCATCTTCCTGTCACAAACGAATGGAAAAATAAAATGCTTCTTTCTCATTACCAAGCATTTCTATTTGCCATTAGTTCTGCAGATTGTCGTTTAGAAGTAGCTCTTTTTGTGGATCAAAACTAAGCTTAATAACACTAAAGCTGGTAGCAAGACCACACATTTAAGTTAAGTGAATTCGAAAATACTGCAGTAGATATAAAGACCAAGACCATTTTGGAAATAGAATGTTTCCTTCTGTTCAAGCTAACTTCCGCAACATATTCTTCCTGTAACAAGCATCCTGATGTTAGTCCAAAAGAAGAGCCAAAAGTGGCTTAGAGGATAGAATTTCAATAATATTCACAAACGTATTGTTGCTTTGACATTGTTTTCGCGGCATGGTCGGAGTGTCAGTATTAGACCATTGACTTGGCACATCCCAAAACGTTTCTCCGGCATCGTAAGCACAGAGTTACAACTTATCAAAGGGACAAGTGAAGGCTATCCTCTTGACCAATCTTATTTCCAACCGTCGTCGCCCCTATTTTTTGCTCTACTTCCTAGTGCCGCATCTCTTTCCCTCAAGCCCACTTCACATGGCCCATCCTCTGACTCACGCAATTCTGTGTTCTTGTTTTCTCCAATTTCGCCGAAGAGTGTGTCGCTACAAGGGGGTTGCGTGAAGCCTACCCATCTCCACACCGGTACCAGATGCTGTCTGCAGGGGCTCCTGACTTACATTTTGCCCAACCCTTTTACTCCTACCCTCTTGTCAATTGGCCGCTGCTAAATATCAAAATCACTAAATATCAAATAACTGTTTAGCACCCGTTTGGTCAAAGGATGGGCTTCACTTGTCCCTTTGAC